TCGTGATGTATATTAACTTTTAAATTAATTTACAGATGTCCAAAGTATGACTTTCCCATTATTCACCATTAAGAAATCATAGAATTTTTGCATACATTATGCAAATTAGGTCATCATGTGCATAATTAGTATCTTTTGACGTTCTGCCTGCCATAGGTTACATACATTACATGTATGAAAGTAGTATAATGTAAAACACTGTAATTATAGAATTTCCTCATTAATTATGCAAATTAAGTCCTCATCTGCAAAATTTGCATTTAATAATGTACATCTCTCTCTCAGCTACCTACACACCAAAAATTATGAAAATATGTTGTTACTATCTGGACTTATTGGCTTTTAAACATTTCGCCAGAAAGTGCCCTGCAGTTCCAGAACAAGCTGCTAGGGGGACCAAACTCACACCACTTATTCCTGACAGGAAAAGCAATCTGTCACCAAAACATCAAGACCATAGCATGTTTAGGACAAAAGATACAAAAACCGGAATTTCTGCTGCAGTACCAAGGTCATCCACCAGGAGGCCCATATTTGACCTTGACGTTTGTCTTCCTAAGACTTACCAACATACCAAATATCATCATAATCCATAAAGGCTTTCTGAAGTTATACTGACCACAAAGTTGCGGAAACACACACAGACAGACACACACACAAACATACATACATACAGACACACCAAAAACAAGAATTCCGAGATTTCATACCTCCATGAAATTTGGGCTTGATATGTAAATGTAAATTTCCTCTTTAATTATGCAAATTACCTCCGCATTAACATGATAGATGCATCGTGATGTATGTTAACTTTTGATTAACTTACAGATGTCCCAAGTATGATATTCCCATTATTCACCATTAAGAAATCATAGAATTTTTGCATAAATTATGCAAATTAGGTCATCGTTTGCATAATTAGTATCTGTTGATGTTCTGCCTGCCATAGGTTACATACATTACATGTATGAAAGTAGTATAATGTAAAACACTGTAATCATAGAATTTCCTCATTAATAATGCAAATAAAGTCCTCATTTGCATAATTTGCATTTAATCATGTACATCTCTCTCTCAGCTACATACACACCAAAAATTTAGACAATATGTTGTTCCTATCTGGACTTATTGGCTTTTAAACATTTCGCCAGAAAGTGCCCTGCAGTTCCAGAACAAGCTGCTAGGCGGTACCAAACTCACACCACTTATTCCTGACAGGAAAAGCAATCTGTCACCAAAACATCAAGACCATAGCATGTTCAGGACAAAAGATACAAAAAACAGACGTTCTCCTGCAGTACCAAGGTCATCCACCAGGAGGCCCATATTTGACATTGACGTTTGTCTTCCTAAGACTTACCAACATACCAAATATCATCATAATCCATAAAGGCATTCTGAAGTTATGCTGACCACAAAGTTGCGGAAACACACACAGACAGACAGACACACACACAGACAGGCATACATACATACATACATACATACAGACAGACAGACACACCAAAAACAATACCTCCATTTTTCATGGAGGTAACAATACCTCCATTTTCCATGGAGGTAATGAGAGAGTTCGGCAGTCACATGGGGGTTTGGGGCCGTTTGAAATATTTTGTTGTATCTAATTACAAAAAATTTCCATGCGGACAATTTTTCCACATTTTTCCTCTGTCTTCCAACGAGCAACTACTGTAGATTTCTTTTCAATTCCGTTAACTAGCACCCTTTCACTCCTTTGTGCAAAATCTTGATGCTTGGTTCTGTACCCTGTTTGTATGTGTCTTTCTTGTAATAAATGTTGGAATTAAACAGTAAAAATGACGCAGTGCGCTTTATTATATATATATAACATACTAAGTACGTCGTTGACCGTACTCCCATGAGACTTAAGTGAAATGGGAATCAACACTATTCGTGTGGTGCTACTTTATTAGATACCTAAAATTACATTGAAAACTTTACCTTTCAAACGGGTCACGAACAACGATGATCTTCCTGTAGGTCGCAAGACGCAGACTTAACTCTTCCTCACTGTAGTGCTTCATTTTTTTATGCCCTCGTCCGTGGATCCAACCACTCTTGTGCGCGTTAGGAGCGATATAATCTTTTTCCTTTCCTTTGAAATCGGCAGTACCAACACTAATCAACCTTTCGGTTTTATTGTACTCTAGATTGTAAAATAATAGTTTCATTGTTTTGCATGCAACCTTAGGAATATAGCAGTAGATTGTTTTAATGTTATCATAAAACAATAGGTGGCTCTGAACACTGACTCTCCTTGGGTCACCCTGAAAAAGGAGGAAAAAAACATGAAAAAGGCGCAATGATTATATTATAACTCCTGGGACTTTTTTTGTTCCACTAGAATGCTCTTTTTTAAAAGTGATAAGTACCAGAAGATTTAGTGGTGGAATGGCATAGGGCCTGTGATTCAACAAGGTTAAATTATTTTTGTTAGTAATTTTTAACTTGTTTATGCTTTATTCCATTAAATAGCATTATCTTATTATATATATACCAAACAGAACATAATAGGCTACTTAGTATGCACGTAGATAGTTTCATCAGCAATGGTTAACTATTACGCTCAACAATAATAGCCAGGGGCTATTAGCCTACCAAATACCCCGGTATTTCTCCTGCTACCTTTCTTCGAGCAAATTGTTCTACTGAAGTATCACCTTGCAGGAGGATACTTTAAACCAACACGCTTGGATCTCGTTATCTTCTAGTTCTTGTGGAAAGAAATTTGTCTACCATCGTTACGTACCGTTGAGATATTTTTCTTACAGTATTCCTTAAGCGTGGCCAGTCTGCGGGACTGTTCCTCCTCAGCTTCCGCTAAGTTACCCCAGTCGTCTCAAGAAAAAAAGGAAAGATCCATGCCATATAAGATTTTTGAAAGGATACAATAGTATGTTACACAAATTTACCCTCGTTGTCTCATATTCAAAGATTAAATTAAGATATTTTAACATTAACATAAGAAGAGAGTAAGATAGGGTTTCCGTATTAGTTTACACCGCGTACCGTAGAAGGAAATAAGTGCATATAGACAAAACTCATATTTCCTCAAGCCTAATTTTTTAGCCATTCTACTAACTCCGTACATAAGCATGTATTTCTTAAAATCATTCCGCGAAGTCAGAAATTGTTGCAAAGTGTTCTAGTTTTCGTCATCGCGAATGACAGTCTACATGTACCACCAACTCTAATAATGGTGCAAGGACCTTTCAATGCACGAAAAGTGGGATTTACCACAAAGGTACATGTGATATTAAGCCGAGTTAAAGGTACATTCCTACTATAAAATTGCAAAACGAAAATTGCAATGTAACCCAACACCAGTAACCATGGTGCCAGCCGTCTGGTTCCAGGTCATTGACCTTTTTGGGTTAGAGAAGAAGAGGAAAAAGTGGAAACTGGGCGAAAACAATAGTTTTCCTTTGGTAAACATAATAATCATAACAATTGGGGGTTTTTACTAAACAATACCACTTCTAGCTCACCTGCCACAAGTCATTTGTATGGGGAAAAGTTTTTCACATTTTTCTCGGCCCCCTCTCAATGGTCATGTACTTACTGTACATATATGCCTATTGATTGTTGGGAAGCTTTTCCGGGGCTTTTAGCCGTAGTCTTAATGGAAGCCCCGAAAAAGAGCTTAGCCGGGGCTTTTAAAAGAGCTTGTTGCTGGCCAATGGGAACTTATATACACGTACTGGGATGGGAGTGGGGTCTTTTAGTAGGAAGACTGCATGGTTTGTCTTTAGCTCAGAGTTGGACACACGTTTACCCAAAATTGATACATATTCACCGAGTAAATTTGTGGTATCTGTAGGTAATTATAACTTTGACATAGCCATGGTGAATTTGGTAAATCCCACTTTTTCCGCAGTGTTCAGATCACACGTTGAACATGAAAAGGTCATTTTAAAGACATTTAATAACGCAGTATTGATAAGCTATGCACACGAAAAAGTATCGGGTTACAAGACGCAATTTTGGGCTAACCGTAAAACTAAAATAAAAAAAATAAACAAAAATAAACT